TTTTGTATTTCTAGCTCAGAGAGAATTTCGGGGTCAGTTCTCTCTCTACAATCTGAATTAAAGAGAAATACAAAAGGAATGAAAAGTGAAAATGAGACTCACCTAGCTCAGAGAGAAGTTTGGGGTCAGTTCTCTGCTGAGCCAGGATGTCAGCCTGAGTGATGCCAAGAGCTGGTCTCTTCTAGCTACACCAGGTGCAAACTAAGAAAATGGTATGTACAAGTGTGGGTAACACTTGGAAAGGGGATTTTTTAATATTGAGAAAAGAAGAAATAAAAACTGTTGAGTTTTTATAAAGGGAGGGGCCTGAGTTACAGGGGTTTTTATGGTGCCCTCCAATGAATCAGGACCTGTTAAAACAGGGGTATTTTTTATGTAACTGATGATCTGGTCCTTTGGGTAAAGGAGTATGCCCAGACAAATGCCTACAACTGAAGTATCAAGGAAATATTACCTACTTGTACTATTTCCAAGCCAAGGGGGACTTCAGGTGGGTGAAAACTGGTCTGGAAGCGCTCAGAAAACTGGGTAACAGGTTTTGGAAGAGTTCTGGGGAACAGTTGATGGTTGGGTTGGTGATATCCAAGACAGAAACAGCAGGAACTGGGCCAAAAACAGGTGAAAAACTGGTTGTTGGAGGTGGTTATTGCTGGTAAGTGGTAATGAAGATGGGGAATCAGAGTTTGGGGGCAAGAAGGGCTCCTTATATACTCATTCTGGGCCCTTGGAGGCGAACTCAGAACTCTGTTTTGCTGGTGCAAGCCTCCTACTAGGCATTGGTGACCTGTAGCACTGCCTAGACACCTGTAGTCCTTGGTTACAGGTGTCAGAGGGCTAAATTGAGGCTTGTAACACACACTAGGGGGTTCTTTGACAAACCTGCAGCCATGGTTTGGTCACTGAGACCAACGGTGAAACGATGTGATGCAATGCGATAAATAGCCATGTATTGGTATTGCATCAAAAAAGTGATGCATTGCATCGGCACCGCATCGAAAAAGCGATGCATTGCATCGGCATCGTATCGGAAAGCAATGAAAGCCGATGCCACCAAATTATAGTGCATTGCATTGCATCGCTTTGCCGATGCGATACTGATACACTGTATCAAACAATCTGATGCAAGTGATGCGATGCGGGGCCCCGCATCGCTCTTGCGATGCAATGCGATAAAGGCCCGATACAATGCAATACCTATGCATGCATCACATCAGTTAAATTGTTGCTGAGACCCTTTAATGACCAGTGGGCTGGTCTTAACCAGGCGTAGTTAGCCAAATTGGGCCAAAAAGGGCCACAAATGGCTTTTGATCAGCCAGTTACAGTTGTTGTGACAATGTAGTTAATGTTTCAATGATTTCAACCTTATTTGTGGATTTTTACCGAACTGCATGAACCTTAATTACATGTGTAGACCTGTCACAACATGTAGTATGATGTAACTGGGAGGGTTTCTAGCAAAATGAACAAGTGTCACTCAGAGTACACAGAAGTACATGAAGGAGTAATAATTAAGGGGTACCTTTGGTGAGGTAACCTGGGTTATTTTGCATGAAAATTAAGAATCTGAAATAATATTCCAATTTTTGCTTAAGGTTTAGAAGTTATTTGTAGATTCATGTTAAAAATGTTTATTTATAAGAGCATCTGCATCGGTTGGCTATTTCAGCTTGAGCTAAGGACTTTAGCCACCAATGTCAACCACAATGGGTTAAGCTAACATCGAGCTAACCTGGCTATCAGCTAGATTTTCAGCTAACCCTTGCTACATGTAGCAATGGTTAGCTTTCGAGCTAGCTAAAAGCTAACCCGTGCCAACACTTCAATTCGGCACCCTCGCGCGAAAATACACACTTCAACTTCAAGCTACACTGTCTCAAGCCACACTGATGTGGCTGACAGGTGGTCGCTATCGTAGTTTAGCTATAGCTTTGAGTCAAAACTTGCTTGGTTTTAGCTCAACCGATGCAGATGCTCTAAATGTTTTTGGTTTATTTTTATGTTTTCTTTTATGACTAGTAAAACTTAATGTAATGAGTAATAATGTCTCTATTATAGTGATTCCACTTATTTAAATATTAATGTTTTTATATGTACATATGTAATAATGTCTCTATATTATGTACATATAAATATAGACATTAATTACATATGCTATGGGGGTAGTATATGTAATAATGTCTCTAAATATTTATTATGCTATGGTCAGGTTGTCTCTGAATAGTAGCAGGCTGACACAGGAAGATAAAAATGGGAAAGAAGAACTAGTGAAACTGTGACAGTCTTGTGAAACTCTGACTGAGGAGAGAGGGGGTTTACATAGGTAATATAAAAATAACCCACCAAAAAATGGTGGGTAGGTAAAGTAATGGAAGCAGATAACAATCAAACACAAGTCGGAACAGGATAAGGAGTAGAGGGACACGGCATCCAAGACATGGGGAGGCGGCTGAGGAAAGATGCCAGAGAGAGTAAGAAAGCGGGGCAGTTACTTATGCTTCTACCTTTCCTCTTGCTGGAGGACATCAGTACTGCACCAAGTAGGAGCCATCCCCAGGAAGAGCTGTCAACTGGTTGGCCTGAAACTTTGAAAATTGACCCATGGAAAAAGGACTGGAGTGGCGTAGCAGTCTCCAGCTCCAACCAATGAGAAGCCTTGGTTGGATGACTGAAGCCTGGGTGAGGCCCAAGTGGTGCCCCTCACATTGCTTGTTTTTTCTATCCAAGAAGACCTTGTGAATGGTCAAACTGAAGTTTTATATTTCTTATGAGTAATGATGAATAAGAAATATAACAAAAAAAAAGAAAAAGTTTCTAACCTGAAGGCAAAAAACAACAGGAGAGAGACTAGCCACAATAAGATAAGAGCTCAAATAGAGGCAAAAGAAAGGGGAAAACTAAAGAATGTTCTTGATGTTAAAATTCCAACAAATGTGGTGATAAAACAATCAAGACATCAACAACCTACTGAGATGAAAGGTCAAGATGGCTTTCTTGATTTTCATCAATATGTCTGAAAGAAGGGAAAGCACACAGTCAGTTGTCAATTGAGTTGTAGGAAGGGAAGTGCTTAGATCACAAGAGTTTCAGAGAGAAGAGGGATGGTTGACAAATAGAAAAAGAGTCGAGAGGAACTTTGGCGTTTAAGCTTTGTCAAGCAGAGGAACTAGTGTGTTTGTTTATAATGGTTAGACAAAACAAGATGATAAGTATAAGATTTAATGGTCCAAATAGATGACCATGAAGTTCCACCAAGAGAAAGAGACAATGATGACGAGAGAAGGATGGTTTATATATTCGAGAGAGTGAGAAGCAGTGCTGAGAGGTCACAGTTGAAGTGTACAAGCTTTGGTTGTTACATAAGATTGTGATGATGTCATATGTGTGAGATCTGACCTAGTCTGGAGAGAAACTGGTTTGAGCACCTGGTGCACAGATTCCAGCAGACCTTTCAAATCAAAATCAAAATCAAAACATAGATTAATATCAAAAACAAAACAAAAGCTAATTAAACAGAGAAAGAAACTGAGAAAGAATTGAACAACCTACTAATGGCAATCGGAGTCCATTCTTCAATTGGTTTTGCGTTTAATGCATCTTTGTATAACAAATCTGTCTTCCACCTAGCCGATCCATGGGTTTCTGAACTGCCAGTTTCCGTCCATTTGTTGTCTTGATCCAAGGGTTCTTCTAGTTTTATTCCCACTTCTATTAGCTGCTCCATTCAGGTATACTCCTGGAATCTGCATAACAGTCTACTTTCATGCTAAAACACTTTTCCAATATCCTACGTGGAGGTGCCATCTCCCATCTGGGAATATTTGGAGAGCAAATGGGTATACATAACCTCCCAGTCCACCATCCGCTAATTAGTAGCTCAGTATTTCCCCTATGTTTTTGGATAGCTCCAGAAGTACCTTGTGATCAGCCAGGAAGAGCCTTCCCAATACTGTATAAACCTTACCTCAGGCAAAAAATAAATTTGTGGCCTTCTCATCTTCAGAATCTGTGCAGAAATGGATTCCTTCCGCCAAGCCAACTATGGGTGTCAAATGTCCTGCAATACCCATAATATTCATACTGATCTCACCTGCAGGTAACTTCAACTGTATGGCCAATCCTTCCGGCATAATATTCATTTCCGCTCCTGTGTCCACTAGATCCTTC